CTACTACTACTACTCCTACTACTACTACTACTTCTACTACTACTACTACTACTAATCCTCCTGCTGCTGCTGCTACTGCTACTGCTACTGCTACTGCTCCTACTACTACTCCTCCTGCTGCTGCTGCTGCTGTTGCTCCTGCTACTGCTACTGCTACGGCTACTGCTCCTACTACTACTACTACTACCACTACTACTACTACTACTCCTCCTACTCCTCCTCCTCCTCCTGCTGCTGCTGCTCCTGCTACTGCTACTGCTCCTCCTACTACTACTGCTCCTCCTACTACTCCTCCTCCTGCTGCTGCTGCTCCTGCTACTGCTACTGCTACTATTACTACTACTGCTACTACTACTCCTCCTACTCCTCCTCCTCCTGCTGCTCCTGCTACTGCTACTGCTACTGCTCCTACTACCACTACTACTACTACTACTAATACTACTACTACTACTCCTACTCCTACTTACTCCTCCTCCTCCTGCTGCTGCTGCTGCTCCTGCTACTGCTACTGCTCCTGCTACTGCTACTGCTACTGCTCCTACTACTAGCTGCTACTCCTCCTACTCCTCCTCCTCCTGCTGCTGCTGCTCCTGCTACTGCTACTGCTACTGCTCCTACTACTACTACTCCTACTTACTCCTCCTCCTCCTGCTGCTGCTCCTGCTACTGCTACTGCTCCTGCTACTGCTACTGCTACTGCTCCTACTACTACTACTGCTGCTACTGCTACTGCTACTGCTACTACTACTCCTCCTACTCCTCCTCCTCCTCCTCCTGCTGCTGCTGCTCCTGCTACTGTTACTGGTCCTACTACTACTACTACTGCTGACTTCCTGATGTGATTCAAAGAAATGTGTAGGGCTCAGGGATTTTTAACTTTCCTTCTAAAGACCTTTAAAGCAACCGCTTGAGAAGCTCACAAAGGGTACCCTCACACGGGCCGGTCTCCTTCAATAATCTGCACTACTACACCCTATTAATTTGATCACTACTCATACTCCTTGCTTAGCAGATTATTCAGGGGAGGTGGACCCCATGAATGGCACCTCAGACCTTTTGGACCTTGTTGACCTTCCACGTGGGGGGTTGACATTAATTACTCTGAACATCTCATTTCAGAACGTATACCTCTCGAATAGATCTAAAGCTTCTTTATATTCCCAGCGTCGTAAGCGGCACATGCGCAGCACCAAGGTGGCAGCCAAGAAGGCCGAATGGAACGCATGCCTCGCTAAGTGCCTTGGTCGATGGGGAAGACTGCAACAAGCCGCCGCGAAGAACGGCGCGGACTTGGGCACTCACTTGAATATCTTCACATCTCGACCATCGCAAATCGATCTTCCGTTGAATGCATGGCAGTGCACCGTACCACATGAGCAAGGGCCTGAAAAGCATCGAAGTCAGTACCTTTGGATAGGAAGAACCGCGCACTTTTGGTTCTCCCAGTGTTTGGTCAGACCTCTACCCGTCGTGGTTCCTGGAAAAAGGCAGTTCTGGATTCATATCCAAAAAGCATATGCTATAAATTAGACATGTGATCTGGCTAAGTCACCACACATACACACACACACACACCCACACACCTCATACATACTTGTGAACATCAATAAACAGGATCTAGGAAAAGCTCCTGTTCTTTTAAAACTCAAAAATCCCCAACCGATCGTTCTACATCTTCAGCACCTTGAGGAGCGGAGGCTTCCCAGGGAAGTGCGAGAAGTTGGAGAAGGATCTCCGCGGCGCCTCCAAGGCCCGGTCTCCATCGATCTCCGGGCTCCCCGTGTCGCGGCCGGTGCCGGGCAACAGGTTTTGGCCGGATTGGGAGTTGGGTCTGGTGCCGGATGCCCATGGTGGCATCGATCCACACTCAATTGACCATGGATTCCGAAGATCTTCCACCACAGAGAGAAAGGTTTTCGATTGCAGACGAAGGATGTATAGCTTCCTTCATGAAGATATCTTTGGGGAGGGTTACCATAAACATATCTGAGTTTATGACTATTATGATATACTGATTTGTACCGTATGTATATATATATATATGCACCTAAAAGTTAAAACTACATACGTCACTCCTGTAGATATATATATATATATTACATATATATACATTGTTTGTATGTACAGCCCATATATACTCCGCTAGGGTACTGCAGACACGTGACTCTTGACGTGTTTTGGCTCAAGGGAGAAAAGGCGTTCCGAAACGTCGAAACTCTGTTTTCATGGTAGCGCGTGAGCCCGGTGAAAGCGAAAGGGACCGAGTCTTGCGCCTAAAAGAGGAAAGACACAGTAAAGTAGAAAGCTCCGAAGAAGAGGAGCTGGGGTCCTCGGGAGCGGCAGATCCTGCCGCCCCGAGCGGAATAGGAGAAGAGAGAAAAGAAAGAGAGGAGGAGAAGAAAGAGCCTTTGCCAGCCACACCAGCGGCGGATTCAGCCGCAAACACTGCTCCAGCGGTCGAGAAGACCGCAGAAACAACCTCAGCGGTCGAAAAGACCGTAGAAACAAAGGAGGAGAAGGAAAATACAGAAGGAACAGAAGGGTCAGAAGAAGAAGAAGAGCCTGAACAGGACCTAACAGGTGAGCCAGGAACTGGAGCGGCTAGTTCAGCCGCACGGTCATCATCTGGCCGAACCATCGCCGATTTCGTCACCTCCACAGAAGGGGTCACAACAGGTTGGGAAGTTCGTGGTACTCACACCAAGTATACCCCAGCCAAGATTGATCCTAAGGCACCTTGGAGGAAGAAGCATCCAGAACCACAGTCCGGATTCCGACATCGAAGCCAAACTTCGCTTCAGTATCGGAAGCTCAAGGACTTGGTGAGGTTGCAAAAGAAGCAGGGTGTCATTACAGAAGACCTGCAGGAGAGGATCAAAGAGTTTGGCAAAGAGCGGCCCAAAGAGGAGATCAGGTTAGAGCGGAAAGAACAAAGACTCCGCAATAAAGAGAAGCGCGAGGAGAGCGCAAAGCGAAAAGCTCAGAAGAAGAGCGAAGCGGCTGATACAGCCGAAGAGAAAGAAGAGGAGGAAGAGAGCCCATCGGAAGAGGAGACTTCCGTGAGACTGAAGGAGAGGAGCCGCAGTCCGGTAAGGCGGCCTCGATCTCCAGACGGACCGCCACCGGTTCGGCGGCCCCGATCTCCGGACGGGCCACCACCAGCTCGCCGACTTCAGATCGGCCGCAATCCGGTGGAGTTGACCTCCGCCGAAGCCCGGGCCGCTGAGAGCCCAGAATCTCCATCCGATCCTTGACCGGGCGAACCGCCCGTGACTGCCGCTGGAAAAGGAGTGAGCGGCAGCAGCAGCAGGGTTGAGAGTAGGAAACCATGGAACAACAAATCCAACAACTTAGTGAAATGGTACTTCAACTCCAACAGAACCAAGCGAGGTTGGAGCAAGAGAATCAAGTGTTGAGGGAGTCTCAAGGTGGGGTATCAATGCTAGCTTCAGCTGTAGGAGAATTGGCTAAGAGCCTTGAGAAGAAAGACGATAGGAGAAAGTCCCAAATCCTCATGGACACCAAAGGGTTGGGACGGCGCGAGAGTTTCGGGAATGTTGAAGGGGATTTTCGAAAATGGGCAAGGAGCATCGACAACCTGTTCATAACTACTTTTGGGAGAGAGTTCATTGAAGTCCTGGAGTATATTTTGGAGCAGGAAGACGCGATTGAAATGAGTGCTATGGAGTCCGCATTTGGGACTGGAACCATAGCAGCCATAGATGATCTAGAGGATAAAGCTGATCAGATTCATCGCGTGCTCCTGACCCTAACCTCAGGTGAAACAGAGGATTTGATGGTAGGAGCTTCAAACGGGTTTGAAGCATATCGGCGAGTTCACCGCCGTTGGGATCCCCGAACCTCGGGACGGAAACGCAATATACTTCGAGCGATTCTCCAACCGGAGAGAGTCAAGACATGGGCCGCGGTGAGGCCAGCGATCGAACAGCTCGAAGAGCTCATCAGGCGGTACGAGTCTCGGAGGAGTGCCGCAGGGATCAGGGAAACCCTATCGGACGATATCAAGTCCGCTTCATTGGAGATGCTGGTACCCCCAGATTTGGAGAAGCATCTTTTGTTGAACAAGAGTAGATTGACAACCTATTCGTTGATCAAACAGGAGATTGAACTTGCCATTGAAACATCCCTCACATCAAAGTCATCTGTTCCAAAACCAGGTTCATCAAGTTCGAGTTATCAAGGACCTCAACCCATGGACGTCGATTCGATCGGACAATGGATCGCAAGCCTGGTCAAAGGAAAAGGTAAAGGAAAAGGTAAACAGGCCAAAGGGGATGGAAAGAAAGGCTCAAGCAAAGGAGATCCAAGTAAAGGCTCAAGTACGGCTCAAGATATCACCTGCTATAATTGCGGTAAGAAGGGACACCGAGCGGCCGATTGCTGGGGCAAGAAACGGCCGAATGGAAAAGGCGATAAATGGTCAGGTTCAGGCAAAGGAGATAGGAGCGGCAAAGGTGGCAAAGGCAGTAAAGGCAAAGGTGGAAGAGGCGGCAAAGGTAGAGCCGCAGGAAGTATGGAAGAGATGGACGAACCGGATGAAGGCGTTGAGCCAGCTCCGGAAGCCGATGTCGGCATGCTCATGGCAGACTTGAGTGGAATTGGAATGGCGGATACCTCATCCGCCGAAGAATGGATGAAGTTTAACCTGGACACTGGAGCAGCCCAGACAGCCATCCCGAATGGCTGGGAGGACCGAGTGGTTGTCAGTGAAGGCAACGGAGTTGTATTCAAGACTGCATCAGGAGAGTTGGTGCCCAGTCAGGGCATTGGAACCTTTGAAGGGTTCGATGAGAGCGGCAACAAATGCCGTGTGAAAGGTTCAATGGCAGATGTTCACAAGCCATTGATTTCAGCGTCCAAGTGCTTAGGCTTTGGAAGGATTGCAGTTCTTGATGCAAAAGGCGGAAACTTGATTCCGCAAGGGTCCAAAGTTGGAAGGGCTGTCCAGGCGATCCTGGAGAAAGCGAGCGCTGCAGAGCAGCGGGGTTGGATCCCTGTATATCAGGAACAGGGAGTGTACAACTTCTACTTGAGAAAGCCAGGGTATAAACCGATAAAGGAATGCTGTGGCATCGCAGAGTTGAACGCCACAGGAGAAGGAGGAGATGCCTCTATGGACTCAGGCCGACCTGGTCCAGAGGGGCGAGAAGAGGATGATGAGTTGGAATTAGTTGATGAGGTTGAGAAACCCATCCAGATAAGAGCACCGGAGGACCCAACTCCGGCTGAGATCGAAGAGCACGAGGCGACAGGCCATGTGCAGTATCGAAGTTGGTGCCGGCATAGCATTGCTGGACGGGCTGTGGGACAGCCACACCGGACGAGATCCGAGGAAGAGAAGGCCAAGAGCCTTGTGCCCACAGTGGCAATGGACTACACGTTCATGTCACGGGGCGGTGTGGAGGACGAGCGAGTGAAGCCGATCCTCGTAATAAAGGATGAGAGGACACAGTCCTTAGCGGCGACCTTCGTGGACTCGAAGGGAGCGACGCCGTATGCAGTGAAGTTCGCCACGAACTTCCTGAAGAACTTGGGGCACCGCAAGGTGGTTCTCAAGTCGGATGGCGAGCCATCCGTGGTAGCCTTGAAAGAGGCAGCGGCGAAAGAAACCGGCATAGACTGGGTTTCGGAAGAGTCGCCAGTAGGAGACCATCAGGCGAACGGCCTGGCAGAGAACGCCTGCAAGGAGATCAAGCGTCAAGTACGAGTTCTCCGCAGCGCGTTGGAAGAGAAGCTCGGCAAAGAGCTCAAAGATGATGATCCTGCATTGGCATGGCTGCCAAGGCAGGCAGGAGACCTGCTGAGCAGGTACAAGAAAGGCCAAGACGGCAGAACGCCTGAGGCCAGAAGATGTGGAAAGCAATGGCGGAAACCTGCCATAGCTTTTGGCGAACGCCTATACTTTAGAGAAGTAGGCGAGGGAGTCCGCATCCTGAAAGAAGGACGCTATGTAGGGCACCATGGCCGAACAGGATCCATTTTGGGATGACGGCCGATGGCGTGCGAAGAGGCACAGGAATCCGGCGGCTGAGTTCAGCCGACCGCTGGGACCCAAGTGATTGGGACCTTTTTGCTGGGCTTACCGTGGGAGCATTCCGCGGCAAGGCCTGCCGGCGAGCAGCTGATGCTCGAAGCTTGTGGTACCACCTCCCAAGGAGGAACGAGTGGCACCACCACAACAGAGGCGAGTGTACATCAGGAGAGAGGATGTGCACAAGCATGGAGCCACAGAAGGCTGCCCAGGATGCAAGTGTATCTTGGAAGATAAGAGGACGACCTTGCCGCACACAGAGGCGTGCAGAGCAAGGATCACTGAAGCAATGGAAAAAGATGAAGCTGGGCAAGCGAGACTTGAAGCCCATGCAAAGAAGAGGAAAGAACGGCAACAGCTTGACACTGTGAAGCCGAAAGTCGTGGCCGACAAGGACTCCGACATCCCAGCCGAAGACGCGGCTGGGGAACCAGAGAAGAAGGAAGAAGCAAAGAGCGCAGGGTCGGGAAGCTCACCGCCAGCAGCAGCAGAGGGTGAGAAAACCTATCCCGATGACCCGAAAGAGAGATATGAGATGAAGAGGCAAGCAGCCGAGATAGAGAAGAAGCCAGTGGCGAAAGCTAAGGTAGCAACAGAGCCCAAGAAGAGAACAGGAGAACTTAGGATAGATCCACCTGGGGCAAAGGTCAAGCCGAACCCAGCACAAGGAACAAAGAGGTTGGCAGAGACCGCCGTAGAAGACCTTGATCCCAGAGTGGAAGAGAGTCCAAAGAAAACGTCTCAGTTTTCACATGTTCCAGAAACACCACCAGTAGGGTGGAAGCCAGATGCAGCCAGCTTGGTGAAAGAGAAGGAGATCGCAAAGCAGCATCTGAAGAAGATCATTCAAGGAACCTATGAGGCAAACGGCATCGAGATCTCTGAGCAAGAGATCGGAGACATCGCTCATTTGAGTATGCAGATGTCAGCAGTAGATATCATGGAGATCTACTCGCCCAAAAGGTTCACTGCGCTTGCAGAGCGCTACAAGTTGCGACCGGGTTTTGCGGTCGACTTGAATGAGATGAAAAGTGACGGAACATACTGGGACTTGAACAAGCCTGAAGATGTTCAAGAAGTGCACGACATCCTTGAGAAGGACGAACCGGCACTTTTGACTGGTTCGCCACCGTGCCATATGTTTTCACAGCTCCAGAACCTCAACTGGAGAAGCATGGCACCGGATGTCCGGAGGAGGAAAATGGACGAAGCCGTCCACCATCTCCATACGAGCGTAGAGCTGTATGTCAAGCAGCATCGCTCAGGGAGAAAATTCTTCCACGGGGCACCTTGGTCCGCGACTAGTTGGAAGGATGAGAAAGTTGCGGCCTTAGCAAAGGAAGATGGAGTGTTCATAGTAAAGGGTCCAATGTGTAGGTGGCAAATGATGGCCACCGATCGAAGAGGACTCCAAGGCACTGGCTATGTGAGAAAGGAGACCGGTTGGATGACCAACGATGAAGGATTGGCCAGAGTCTTGCAAGGAGTCTGCTCGAATGAATCGGGCAAAGGACCATGGCACCGACACACCCATCTGATCGGAGGCATTGCAAGGCAGGCAGCGGTATACCCACCGCAGCTCGTGAAAGCAGTGCTGAGGAGCCTGCGTGACACACTGGCTAAGAAAGGTGAGTTAAACACCTTTGATTTGTTTGCAGCAGGCCCAGTTCCAGAGATGCCTCTGATGGACCCTGAGTTCGAAGAGATTTACATGGACGATGTGAACGGCGGCATTTTGCCAGCCGAGAAAGTGAAAGAGGCAAGACGCCTTGAGATGGATTATTTGAAAGAAAACATGGTGTTTATGTGCCTCGGCCAAGAGCCGAATGTTTTGAGGAAACGGGGAAGCCCCCGATTCCTGTCAGATGGTTGGACACCAACAAGGGAGATCCAACAAACCCAAACTATAGGAGCCGTTTAGTTGTGCGTGAGATAAAGGCAAGAAAGACCAAAGAAGAACAATTGCCAGCCAACTTGCTTTTCAGCAGCACGCCCCCATTGGAGGCGATGAGACTGCTGTGCTCGTTGTGGGCAACAAAGAGAAAGTCCTGCCACAACCAGCCGCTGAAGCTGGGTTTGTGGGATATCTCACGAGCACACTTCTATGGAACTCCAAAGAGGAAGATCTACATAGAGCTGCCACCTGAGGACGAAGCCAGCAAAGATGGACAAACCTGTGGACTTCTCGTGAAGTCGATGTATGGAACACAGGATGCTCCAAATATCTGGCAGACGCACTACACAGAGACTCTGCAGAAAGCTGGTTTCCGCAGAGGGTTGTCAAATGCGTCAGTCTTCTACCAAGAAGCTTGGGACGTCAGAGTGATGGTGCATGGAGATGACTTCCTAGCACTTGGAGACGCCCAACACTTGGAAAAGCTCAGCCAAGTCCTCAAAGATGCCTATGAGCTGAAATGTCTCGGAATTCTTGGAGACGAGGATGGAGACCGAACAGAAGCTCATTTTCTGAATCGGTTAATCCGAGTCGAAAAGAAGAACGGCAAAGGATCGATTTTGATCGAAGCCGATCGGAGACATGTTGATCTTTTGATCCAGGCATTTGGTCTGGAAAAGGCAAATGGTGTAGAATCACCAGATGTCAAGAAGTCGGCAGATCAGCAGATGCTGGAAAGCCGCAGTCCGCTGCTTGATAAGAGCGAGGCATCGAAGTATCGTTCAGCAACGATGCGTGCTGCATACTTGTCCCAAGATCGACTTGATATTGGGCACGCAGTCAAGAACCTTGCTCGAGGTATGGTATCGCCAACAGAAACCAAACTTGCTGACTTGAAGCGTCTCATCAGGTACTTGAAGAAATATCCTGATGTTGGGCAATGTTTTGGCTCGCAGCAGACACCCTCCAGGTTGAGGGTGCAGGTCGATGCCGACCATGGTGGTGACGCTGTGACACGCAAAAGCACAACTGGCATGGTTGCCATTTATGGCACGCACGTGCTGAAGCACAGCAGCAACATCCAATCCACCATAGCCCTTTCCACAGGTGAGAACGAATACTACGCACTCGTGAAGGGCGGATCGGTAGGCTTAGGACTTCAAAGCCTATGCGCAGATCTTGGTTTGGATTTGGGAGTCACCATCGAGGGCGATTCCAACGCAGCCAAGGGAACTGTGAACAGAGTGGGTTTGGGTAAAGCTAGACACATCCAGACTCGCTACCTATGGTTGCAAGAGAGGGTCGCCGAAGGCCACTTGAAAGTGCACCATGTTCCAGGTGTCAAGAACAAAGCCGATGTGTTGACCAAATCGGTTCCTGGGGTGCAGCTTCGCAAAACCATGGAGGACCTGCAGTATGCATTCCTCAGCAAGCGAAGCAAAGGACAGTTAGATGTTTTGGAGTAAGGTCCCTGGCCAAGCTCCACTACCACAACTGAAAGTGGCTAAGCAGCGAAGAGTCTCACATGTTTCCTTTTATGCTTGCGCAGCAGTACAGTGCTTTGCAAGAGGAGGAGTGTTTGTATGTACAGCCCATATATACTCCGCTAGGGTACTGCAGACACGTGACTCTTGACGTGTTTTGGCTCAAGGGAGAAAAGGCGTTCCGAAACGTCGAAACTCTGTTTTCATACATATACAGTACATATACATATTATATACATGTATTTGCTTGACAATAAAGGTGCAGCCAAAGGTGGGTGTAAGAATCTCATCATGGAGAGATTTCAGATGCAAGAGCTCGCACGCATGCGTGTCTCTGAAACGCGCATCGTTTACAGCTGCAGAGGTAGAACCTTCTTGTGACCCGGGGTTGCTCCGTTAGGAGAGGGTACATCTTTTGTTCAACAGAAACTGCTAGGTACGGTGGACGATGATGACTTCAACCGAAGAAGGAGTGTTTGACCAGTTGATTGGAGGATTTGCCATGGGATCTGCCCTGAGAGGATTTGTACTTCTGAGCCGCCCAGACCAAGCCCTGCCTTCTTCGCCCCCACCAGTGTCTCTTTTGAGCGCGTGAACATGTCATTGGGTGAGGCGGAAGGCGTGGATAGCTGTGTGGATGAGACCATCGTCGGACTCCCCAGCTCTCGGAGAAGGTTCCTTGTGTTTTGAATTCTGTAAAGGCCAGATCTGAAACAGAAAACCAACACGATGAACGCGTAAGTTTCTTCGGGATCGTGCATTAGTTTCTGGGAAGTGGTTTCTTAGCTACTCCAAGGTTCACCCAGTTGGGTGAAAGGATGGCTGACCATTGAATCAAGGTTTCTTTTAGGAACCCGCAGACAGGTTTCACAAGGTCAGAGAGCATGAATGAGATTTAAGGACTTACAATTGCACTTCTGCCGGCCAAACTTGCGCAGAGTATGAAGCAGGACTTGGGATACCTCCTCTCCGAGCCCTTCTCCAGGCTTTCAACCATGCATTTGAGCTTCATGGCATTCTCCGACCGATTTCTTTTTGCCACGCCTGTACTGTTTAAGGGGGCGCCAAAAGAAAGAGCGGTATTGCTCAGCCCCACTGGACATTTGTTGATTTCCAGTCCCGGCCCAGTGAAACGACCCCAGATGCGAGGCCCTGATGCGCTGCACCACCAGCGGCGCCCGCAGCAAGGGCTGCGCTGCGCAGTTCCTGGCGATGCGAGAGTAGCTCGGCTGGTTGGAGTGGGGAAAACAACTGGGGCATCCTTGGTCAGACACAACAACCAGGAGGCCCAGGAGAAAAACTTGGGGATGTTTGGGTACACCATGCTTAGTTTAGGTCTGATTCTCTGTGGTTGCCGGGATTTCATTATTTGTTCTCCTTGCCTCTTGGAGAAGCTTGGTGTTCTTTTTAAAATATACTGAGGCCTGAAAACAAGGGGATTTCAGTGAGGACATTTGCGTCTTCCATTGTCTGTCTATCTATGGATCTGTGTCAGCAACATCTGAGATGAGCACTCCGTTCCAGGGAAAACCTGGTCGGTTCCACCGAGTGTTCTCAACGAAATACGACATACCTGGGCTCGGAAGCCTCCACGGTGGCGGTTTCGTGAAAGAGCGAGGTGCAACCGCTCGGGCGGCCGCAACTTGCTGCCAGAGGGCGGAGGCGCTTGTTTGAGGAATGGTGGCAAGGATCCCACCAAACTGGGGCAAGAGTCTATTTTGTGTGTGTGTGTGCTTGACTTGGTGTTTTGTTTTTTTGGCTTTTCTCTCCAACACCACCAGGTGCTCATTCACTTTTCATTGGACCGTTCGCACCGAATGCTTACAATTCGCGTAACGGGGTCAGGCTTCTTCTTCGCAGATTGTAACCGCACGTCGGAGTGTAGCACGACAGCTGCTGCCGATAAAAACAGATGAACTCGCGATAAAGGATGAACTTCAAAGTTCTTGCTACAAACACTGGGCCGAACAGGCTGGGGGAACACATCTGTAGGTCAGCCGGCCCGCCTGTCCCTTTTTGTGTGAAGAGACATGACGTGAAGATGCGGAAGGTGTGAAGCATTTGACGGCCAACCATGTGGTGCGACTGCGAGCATCCGAGCATCCGAGCGGAACAACCAAAAACTGCAGCAAAGAAAAGGGTCGTTGCCAGTTTGGCCCATCCAGTTTTTGCCCGTTCCGTTGAATCGGTGTCCGAAATGGGGCCTGTTGTCTTCCGTCTTTTGGACGTCCATGCAAAGGATCGGTGGATCGGTTTGCAAAGGATCGGTGCTGGGGAATTTTGGCTTGCACTCTTCTCCCATACTGTGCTAAGTTCTCCCAAAAGCCCAGCAATATCTCGATGTTGCTCTCTCCCTCTCTCTCTATATGTATATATATATACACACCATACTATCTCGATGTTGCAACACACACATATATATATATATACATACCATACCTGGATCTTCAGCCTATACATGTCACTGAGTTTTATGCTGGGATGCCCTTCCGGTAGTTTCAACATGTGCATTGGTCTTTAGAGAGCTGTTTCCAGCGTGGCTTTGCCCAAGCGTGGCTTTGCCGTTTGGATATTTCTACATTATGCTTGGCCTCCAAATTTTCATGCATCACTACATTGGCCATGCCCCGTCGCTAGAGCAGAGCCTTTGACGTACACGTCTGGGCGTCCCATTGATTCCGGGGCGATTGCTGAGTTCTTTTAATCCTTCAATCCAGCTCAAGCACCAACTCTTGCCAACTTTGTATCGCCAGCGGGCACTCAAGACTTATTGCGATTTCACACGTCGTGGCATTGGAGCTTTTGCGGAGCCTCCGCGTACTTCATCCTTTTGCAGCGGCCATGGCACATGAAAGCCCAACCGCTCAATACAGACTTACAGCCACTCCCCAAAAATGAATATAAGCACCTGGTTCTTCCCGGGTTTCAGGTCACGAACAGGCCCGTAAAAGGTCAGTTACGGGGTCCAAAAAAGCACTTTGAGGAAACTGGCATATAAATATATATAGTAGAATGCATATAAATATATACACATACATTATTCTACAACTTATATTATATGATACTATATTGTCTTATACTATACTATATCATGTTAAATTATACTAATACTATATTATAACAATGAATAAGCCATATATGTGATTGGAATGGATTGGATTGTCCCTGCACCGGATCGATTGAAGCCCAAACCGCTCGGATCGCGACCGGTCAGGCTACGCCGTGGCGCCCGGCAAGGCGTCGCTCTTCATGGCACAGGCGGAAGACGAGGGGGACCTAGGGGACTTAAGTTCGGTCCCCCAGTGTGCCTGAACCCTAACCCCTGGTGACTTCAGACGGTTCCACTGGTGAGTTTGGGTGAACTTTCTGACGACACGACCAGGTCTGGAACTGGATGAGATGCCGCCCGTCAGATATACTGTAAAGGCCCCGGAAGTCCACCGCCTCGTGTTGTATGCAGTCCTATGCCAGTCCGATGGAGCGTCTGGGTAACTGGGGTCCTTCTATTTCGACTGCACAAGATCTGACTGCCTACGACCCAGCTAAGAGTGGCCGCGACGCAGCCAGTCTCGGAACCCCACTGTTGGCGATGGTGTTGCCACGAGCTACAGTCTTGCAAAGCAAACGCAAAGCGGCTGATCTATGTGCTTTTGCTGTAGGTGGTCTATCCATGATTCTGAGACAAAACCAGCATCTGATTCTCATTACTATACATCAAATACAACCAAGCTAACTTGTGAAGACCCAACGGATATAAACCAGGAATTTGAGCGCTGCAGCACTATCTTCATCACCTATTTCAACCTGTTTGCTTTGAGCGTTTCTCAGCTTTCGGGTTGAACATCAAGCTCTACTGGCCACGGAACACCCTTGGCGAACCAAAAAGAAAACACCATTCGTCAGACTCATGCACAAGCTCCATGTTGGGTTGTAGATGGAATGACCTTTTCACTGGTACCACTCTTTTCACGAAAGCTTCAGCAAATCCAGCACCTGCAGATGTGGGTGTGTGTCAACGGAACCGGCTGGCCTAGCCCGGCCTGGCCTAGCCCGGCCTGGCCCAAAGATTCACTCACAACCTTGTGTGTGGGAGACGCATCCGTTTTTCAGGACGGGAGAGCAGTCTGGTCATACCGGCTCTGGTGGTCTGGTCATAAGAAGACCGGGATCATCGGACCATCTGAAGGACCCTCTCGGACCCTCGGACCGGACGCGGAGCCGTCGTCTCACAGGCGGGCTCCTTGACACAGTCGGCCCCGCCGACGCGCAGCCTGGAAGGCATGCAGGACGCTCCACGTGCTCTGTTTTCACCGTCGAAACCCCTGACTCGAACTTCCCCCCGTCTCCTCATGCCATCGCCACAGAAGATGACCTGATGGAAGTTGGTCCCCTCAGCTCGCTGTGACGGTTTCACCGCCGCGTTTCTCGCGTACGTCACCGCGGGTTCGGCAGGAGTTTGGACAAGAGTATGCCAAGTCCCTTGGGGTGAACGAGGCGGTTGGAGCGTGGGAGAGGGCCACGCGGAGGTTGGTGCGTTCCGACACGGGTGGGACGAGCGGGTGGGAGAGGTGGATTTGGGATGAGCAGTTTGTGGAGGTGGATGAAGATGAGGACATCCAAGTGCACCAAGAGGGATGGTGATGCTGATGACATTGGAGTAATATACAGTGTCCTCATTACTATGTGCTTCTTAGTTTCTTCATTTGTTTGGCTTTTGTCCTTGAGTCTTGTTTTTAATTCAACGGAGTTTGATATTTTGGCCATGTTGGATGGACAATGCCAGATGGTTGTTTTGGTTGGGTGGCAAGGTTTCACGGCCATTGGGATGTTCTTGTACCTAGAAAACATTTGACCCCTGTTTTGATAGGAAAAGACCACAATGGTGGTTGGTGATGGTTGGCGATCCAAAACAGAGGTCACTCAGCTTGTAGGTAGGCACACAGGATATCTTGCAAGTACGCAGGTCTTGGTCTCAATGCAGCTCCCTTCACCTGTTTCCCTTTCCTTCTTTCAGCCTTTAGCTCATCGGACTTCGCCTTTTGGTCCTCCTACGAACGAAGCGGCAGACACCCAAATTCTGCTGATGCCCGATCTCTATGGCGGTTTTTCCCTCTTGGGGCCTTTCCGCCGTCCGACCGAGAGGTTCGCTTCTGAGCGCCGCGCACACTCCGGAGTGGTCCGAGTCGAGTCCTCCAGCGGCGCGAGGATGTCCCGCGGCGAGGTCCTGCCCCCTTCGAAGCACCGAGGGGGGGACCTCTTGGTCTGATACATATACGATCATATACTTATATGAGTATAGACTTTATTTATGCTATACTATGATACATAATACTATCATATACTCTTGAAGATACACATACTATCATATACGATGCTTTATGACTGAAATGAGGACCTTCAAACATTGGCAGTTGCTGCAAACTGTTGCCCTGAAATTTCGGCCGCGAAGGACACCCTCGCTCTACCCATGCTGGCGCAAACTCTCATGGACTTGACAATGATGGTGAGAAGGTGTTCGAACGGTGCCTTGAGCGATCTGGTCACAGAGATAGATTCCAAGCTTTGTTCCTTTGCAAGTCCCTTATTCGTGCCGTGTGAAGTCGGGGATTGGGATGCATCAATATCCTGCCAATTTGGTGATGACCCAGTCGGTTTGAAGACCCTCCGTTTGGTCGTTTTGGTCATGTGACGTTTTGTCGTAAACGGCTCGCTTCAATTCTTTTTTTGACAGCGGAGAAAAGCGAGGTGGAGACCTAGCAGGCATATCTTTGGATAGAAAATGATGCACTTTGCTTGGTGTGATGGGGAGATTCTGAGGCATGGCAGCCTTGCTTTGGAAAAGAGTCCGAGAGGTATGGGGAGATACAAACGGTGTACATTCGAAGAACTTGTATACAGTACTGTACTTCTGAAATAGATGAACCATGATGAACCTCAAAGGTCTTCGGTACCTTGAAGAGTTGTTGACATCATCAGTTTGTCTTAAGTAATTGGCACCACTAGGTGACGGCTCGGAAGAGCTGTCCGCTCCCGTGTCGCGAACGATGCGGGTCGACAGTTAACACAGGAAATCGAAAGCAGGCACGTTCGTAAACTCAGTTAGACTCAGGTAGACCAGGCACGTTCGTCAGACTTGTATACTTAAAATTGTTTGTTCAGTGGCGTGTGCCTTGGGGGTATACTGACCTGACCCACATCCACCTTGCTCTTTACAAGCAGCCCATTGCCGGGACGAGTAGTCCGAACGAAGAAGAAAGAGCCCTGAAAAGGGGACGGGATGAATAATAAGGGCAAATCTCAAAGAAGTCTTTAGGGCCAATCTCAAAAAGGTGAGTTATTTTTTTTCAGGGTTAGCCATGGTTCATTGGATTCTTCTGTGATTTTTTGCTCGACGGGCCTGCTGCTCCAAGGCTGATGCTTGGAGAGGATGTCCAATCACTGCGAAGAGATCTAAAGAGTTCGTTTCTGCTGAATGCTTGGCAAGCTGGAAAATCTTCGGTTACCCCAATTAGATCGGAAACTGATCTCCTGAAAGAACAGTTCGCAGATTTCAACCCACTATTTTCACTCTTTGCAGTTTTTGTTGGACAAGAGCCATCAGCCAACCGAAAGGGGAATACCCCCCACACGCCGTGCTGAGACTCTTCCACCACCTTGACGATCTCCTTCGCTCTCGCCTTCACCGCCATGGCGCCTCCGACACCCCGCAGCGCGCTACACGCAGGTGGGGTGGCAGAGTCACTTCCGCCCATTGGTTGGGACCATTCGGGTCGGCACGGAGCCTGATGGCTGTTGGTAACAACACCAGAATCACCAAAGGTTGTAAATAGATCTTGGTCAAGACCAGTTTCAGATTGCTTTTAGGATGTAAGCTGCTGATAGGGATTGGTTGGGTCGTCCTCTACCCATGCAGTCAAAGATCAGCATCACTATTCTATACGGGGAACACAGAAAGGTAGCCAGCATAGCCCCTCAAGAGTTCTCAGTCATGGTCGATGCTTTCGAAAGAAGTTCCAACCACACTCTTTGATTTAATTGCTGCTCTGGATACCAGGTAGCATTCCACACAATTTCTTCCTGGCGCCGAAAAAGTCTCGTCCCGCGAGGGAAGGTCTTGGAATGAAGGGACCTACCGGAGAACGGGTGAAACTCCCGTCCCGACGAGCAAGAAAGACACCCGATTTGGGGGATTGGCATCCCTCAAGAACCAACAGGTTTGAACAAGGGTCAACCTGGACCTGTTGACTTTCCCCCGACTGAGGTCACTGAAGGGGTCAGATGTTCCGGAACTGAGTCGCCGGCGTTCCGAATGGAGTGGGACCTCATGTTCGATCGCGCTGGCCAGGTGCCGAAGCCGTCTTAGGCTGGGTGAAACAGACCCGGGAGCGCGGGGCTGGCGGGCTGGCGGGCTGGCGGGCTGGGATCCAGGCTTCGTTGTGAGGTGTGACGCAACTACTTAAAGAAACCTTACTTGGCTGAACAGAAGCGGAAACAGGTGAAGAACCCGGAGGATGTCATGGTGTATGATTGACAGGTCCATTCTGAAAAGCTATGGTACATGGGACATGGCGGCACTTTCTACGAGAGCATGGCTTCGTTGGAGGATCCTTCCACCGAACTGGACAGATTCTGGCCTTTCGTGATTCGATCACTTTGAGATAATTGTGGAAAGGTCACCTACCAACCCAACTTGTTTCAGGTGACACAATGGTACGTACGCCCAAAGACGAGTCTGTCTCGTGTCAAAAAGCCTAGGATTCGATCGAGCATACGATCGCTATATCACATAATATATATATATACCTAGGACCTGATTGACCCCTGTTTTGGAGCCAAAACATGGTCTTTTCCTATCAAAACAGAGGTTAACTGGGGTCTCATTAGGTATATATAAAATATCATCTATCGCTCTCCGTCGCTCTCGCTCGGTGTCCTGTCCGATGTTCCTATGGACGTTCGTCGCGACGAACGTCCATCGGTGACCCCGACCACCTCAACCGACCTCAACCACCTCGAATCTATTTGACCTCTTAGTCGAGGTCTGACTGAGTCTGGCTGGGTGACAGAGGACCTCGAGGACTGGGTCCCTTCCCTTTTTGATCTGGTCCGGGAACGTGGGCACCGCCTGGGCACCGGGATGCTGCGCGATTCACCGCGCCTGGGCCATTTGCCTGTCCAACGAGCCTGGGCCAGTCGTCGCGTCGTCCCAACCTGCCTAGCCGTGCTGCTCAAAAGGCGCGCCCGTGGTGCCGGTGGCGGAGCGGCTGTCGAAGAAGTTCCTCAAGGTGGTGTGGAGGGTGCTGAAACCTTGAAGGGTCTTCGCGTGTGCCGAAGAGAGTTCCGAATTTCTTTTGTGCGGATGGATTTGTTGAAGATGGGGATTCACCTTTGTTTCTTTGGTCTTTTAGAATACTTGTTGGGGTTTGGGAGTAACTGAGTAACTGAAGCCGTTGCCAAGATTCGGCCGAAGGAATACATGGTGCCCCATGTTTTGGTCGAGCCCCCAGATTCTCCTTTGCGAGCAAAAGGCAACTTTCACTGTGCCTCAAATGCTACAAGTCACCTCTCAAAAGCTAGCTAACATACTTTCGATCAATGGCGCCACTCACCTCATCCCACATCTCACCTCAAAACCATCTCACAGCGAATAAACACATGCGGTGTGCGCATGGTTTGGGGACCATTCGGGACCCACACAAAAGCTATCTAGCTATCTCAACATGTCAAGGATTGAGGCTCTTGCCCAACCACCAGAAGCTGCCAGAAGCTCTGTTTTCAAACAGGGAGGGGGTTGGGGGTTGTAGATTCTACGATAGTATATGAACTGTATATGATAGTATATACTGTGTGTTTGAAACCCTTGGAGTCACAGGGAATCATTTGATTTATAGCAGGGGTGAAAACAACCTTTTGGTTGTTCTTCGGATGTCATTCGCATGATATTATCTTATCTCCGCCTGATCTTTAGGCTCAAACAACCCATGGCTAAAGGTGGAGGTAAGTGCGGCGGCTGGCGCCCAAATTGGTCTAATGGACCAAAAGGCCAACAGGCCGATGGCATACTCGGATGGAGGTCCGATGAACGTGAAGAAGTTTTGAAAGCTCGAGCCTCTGGAAGTTGAACAGAAACTGACGGAAATCAAAACAAGAGCAGCAGAGGCAATGAAAAGAGCGACAAGAGAGCGCAAGGTGATGATGACGGCAATGAGTCCAAAAGAAAGAAGAAAAAGAGGAAGAACAAGGACAAAAATAATGATGATGACAAAGTTGAAGTAGTAGAAGAAGGAAAGCCTCTCAGCAAGAGAGCCAAGCTTGACACTAGCTTGGTTGCGGATGATGATCTGAGTGGTATTCCTACGACGGAGTTCCCAGGTATCAGGTCCATCCACACTACGTTTGCGCTGATCATTGGAGGTATGGCGCTGGATGCATTTTGGCCTGTGGTATCGGTGCTCGTACGAACCGCATCAAGCTATCACCACTGGCTTTACTGACTGGTGATATGTGCGCAGCCTTTACATACCAGTCTGACTGCCAGCAGCGTGAAGATCTAAGCTACCTCCAAGGCTTTACCAGCAAATTGGCCTACAATTTCCAGGTGAGTTCAGTTCTTTCGAGTATCAAGCCCTATCTGACGATTTTTAACATCAACTCCTTTCTGCTGAAGCTGATTGGAACTTGTTCGTCTGCAGTAGGGAAGATCTCGACGATTGGCCTTCGGAATTTGTCAGCGGGTGAATAGCCCTCCTCTTGCTGATTGGGATGACAATGCTAATTGGACTGACCTCTTCAGGTTCAACAGGTATTATCCTGAAGGGCTGGACAATCAGGAGAGAGTGGCTATGACCAGAATGAAGATGCCACAAGCTCACTTGATATTGGTGTTCTATTGCTGAACTTGGGGTGATCAATTCATTGACACTGTCGACCAGCACCTGGAGCAGGTATAGGGCAACGGATAGACCTATCTCTGGCTTTTGATATCGACGGGAGACGTCCTGTCCACGTACCTGCAACTGTTTGTGGCGTTGGGTAATCACCTCCTACTCTAGAGTTCAGGCTGGTGAAGTTTCAGAGGTCGGCAGGGGCGACTGCGCTCGTCGTCCGCCCTTCGAGTATTTCGAGATGCTTGGATGTCATGGTTCTCGTAGTCGCACCTTGTCCCTGGTACCCTTAGGCATTCATACCTAGGTGGGCGCGTGGGATGTGTCAGCTCAGTACACAATATCTCGAGTGTGTGTCAGACTCAAACAGGTTGCCGCTGTGTTGCCCGACGCAACCCGCGAATCATCGCAAAGAATCGCCATTCCAGACCATCGTGGTGCAATTATCCCGTTGCAGTTGTGTGTAGCTTCATGGTCCCAAAAATGGGGGCCGAGAATCTGGCAGGTCGGTAGCTTTCCGAAGAAGGGACGGCTCCGTTGTAGTGGCCAAAAAATATACCAAGTTTTGGCACCAGAGGTTTGACAAAAGACAGTTTTCTGTTAGCGTAAAGCTTTGCAATGCGCTGCTTGGAAAAAGACAAGTTTACATCACTAGTGCTGTCCCAGTCCCTTCTCTCACCCCGCGGCACTTAGCATACTCCGCGGCACTTAGCAAGCCAGTGCCCAGATACTATAGGGGACCAACGTGTTGAGGCCGTTATTGGTGTGCACGCGGAAGCCTGAAAATTGTGCGGCCTAGCAACAGCTTTTGACTTCTTTGATGTAACTACCGGTTTGCCCCTTCTCAAATGTCAGAAATATCCATGCCATGCTGTTATTTTACTTGGAAATAGAGCATCCGCGCCTATGTGTAGTGAGTCGTTCGTTTGGCAATGTCTTCAAAAGTGGGCATCTGCGGGCGTCCGTGCGAAACAGCCGATAGGCTGCGACACAAGTACCGAAGGGAACCGATGACAGCTCCACACCCAAACGCTGCAGTTCCCGATTCGTGGCCTATATAAAAACCATTACTTCTGGGGCCATGACCGGCGCCTCTCCTGTAAATACCAACACTTTCGGTACCACAGGCCTGTCGATCCCAGTAAATGCTACAAGCTGGGCGCCAAGAGCGGGGCAACTCCTGATCTTTTTGTCAGCGCGTGCAAAGGCATGGCAGCACGCAACATACCAGCCAAAGGTTCCAAAAAAACACATTGCCATGTGCACGGAAGGGGCCCAATTCGGTCGCCACAAAGCAGTTAAGATTTGGTGTCGTCGTGGCGGGCCCTTACTGTGTATTGTATAAGGATATACAGTATTTGTGTGTGTTTCTTCACGCACAGAGAACAGAGGACGAGGTCACCAGACTTGGTGGCGGTTCTAAAGAACAAGATCTATACTTCAAACACAGTTCCCAAAATTGGCTTAAGGCAGGAACCCTGTAGTTTTGGGATGTTTTGGGGGTGAAAACCATGCGTATGTCCCGAATCTTCCGCTGGCCGTCGGCCTGTGGAGGCCTGGGCGCAGAATCCGCCGCCGCGGCCGGAACCTGACGCCTGGCCACCAGCGGGGAAGTCCACCAACTGCCATGCGCCAGGTGGGCGGGTGGAACGTGTGCGGTGGTAGCTGGGGGCTGTGCTTGGGTGGTGGATGGGTGGATTGATTATTTTTGAATTTGTTTTGATATGCCAGGAAAAAATGTTTTTGAGTCTCTTGAGATGTTTTGTTTGTTTTTCTCACCGTGGTGTGTTCCCGGGTGGTGCAAATTCCTTTGCCAATTTTGTTTTGTTTCACTGCTTAACCGGGGATCCTCTCGACGAAAACTGCCAGTTCCCCTCAAACATTCTCTAATGTTTTTTTCACCAACTACCACTCCCTTCAAAAGACTGTCCAATTTGCTCGACTACTCCGCTAAAATGCTTTACCCCACTGACTCTCCGCTCACCCTCCATTTTTTCTCCCCTTTCATTAACCTTTCATTCACCTCTCTTCCTCTCCTTGGTCTCGGACTTTCTCTCCGCGGACACTCCGCGCGATTCACAGGTTGGCACCGCGAGGTGCACCGCACCCGGGGCGCGGAGCACCTGGCCGAGCTCCGCGCGGCGGAGCTCACGCAGCGCGTCTACGGGGAACGACCGCCGTGGCGGGCCATCGTGGAGGAGTCAGCGAGGGTCATCCGGGGGGGGAAGCAAAGTAGGACGCTTGGGGCGAGATGGTTGCAGCAAAGAGATATCAAAGAAATATATCCTTGGGTGGGACATAGAAGCGCTTCAGCTAGAAGAAACTGCGTTGATGTGCGGATGGTTGAGAGGACCTTGGCCCCTTAACCCGTCGGTGAATTTGGATCTAGGCCACCTAAGAAATAACAATGCGAATTACCACACGTTAGGGACATTGGAACTCCAGGCCGGGTCTTTCTTTGGTGAAAGTTGCATCTTTTTCCGGACCTACGGCTGGGCTAATGGAGAATTTCGGTCACCAAAAGAAAGTCGTTTAAAAGACACTCCTGCCCTTTGGGTCTCAGTTGGTTCAGAGCACTTATCGTCCACTTCCCAAGTGCCAAGCCGACGAGCCTGAGGAGTCTGCGGAGGAGCATGCGGTGAGCGATGAAACACTAAGGCCGACACACGACTTCCCGGCAGTGCTGAAGGAATTCGGGTATCTCTATGTCTCAGCAATCCCAAGTTTTTTTGAGAGACTCTGGCAGCATGTGAGATGGAAGGAAGTCTGGACAACACCAGACAATTGACCATGTTTGTACATCCATCATCCATAGAATGCTGCAATCTTTCCACACCCCCGGCCGTCCTCAGCTGAAACTCATCGAAACGCCTGGCGATCAGGTTCGTGCGGCTCTTCCTCTCCCGCGCCCGCGGACAGGGAGCCCACAGGCGGACTTTTTGGCAACGTGAGTCATGGATCAGATTCCCAGGGCGCATGGACAAATGAAGATGATCTATTTTGGTATAGGGATGAAGAAAAGATAGGCCGGTCCAGGGAGGATAGAGATTTGGTTATTTACAAATTGACCAGGTTGCTCAACCTCAGGGATCATGCTCACGGCTTTGGGAGGCACCACCCCGTGTATATTTCCCCAACATCGAATGACATTGTCATCTCCTGAGATTTGGGGGGCGTAACCAGCTCGCTCCAAACGATCTGACGTCCTCAGATTCCCCACGCTCCGCGGCCTGGGGCCGCATTGAGAGAATATGGCCGTCATGAATTCATGACTGGTATCCCTCTATCCCTATCCCTGGCCTATCCCTATAGTTAACCAAGCAATGGCGACCGTTGGAGACCGGTCCGACCTGGGTCTCCACCGCGGGAGACCGTCCAGGATGCCGAAGCTCCTCGAAGACCTGCGAAGGGCAGCGGACCCGAGGCGTGGAACTCCACGAAGTCAAACGGCCGAGGGGGGCAGCGCCGAGCTGGGGAGCGCCAAGGGGTTCGAGGTTCGCCACATGCCCTGCTTGGTGAAGGATGCTGCAAGATGGACATGAGGAGGGGCCAGTAGGGGGGTATGAGGACACTGACAAGTCACTTCGATTCTTCATTGTTTTGGCCGGGTTTTTTTCATGTTCTCACACCCATGTTGCAATTTCCTTCGAGTTTTGTCGCGGAAGTGTCTTCCCCTTTGAACATTGGATTTCAGCATTTGACAGAAACACTCATCCCATAGTGGGGCCCCCTCTTCAACAAGGAAGAAGACGGAATTCGTGGCTCGCTGCAGGAGTGGGCAGCTGAGCCAAGAGAACTTTTGCAAGTTCGCCATGGCGGAGGCTTCTTTTGTTTAATTTTTCTTTTCAAGGACATTCGATTTGGCCTCAAGTCATGCGAGAAACATCCCCCCAAAATGGGGAACACTGCAAGATTGAAGGGTACAGCCAATCCAACACTTACTTGACACGTTTGGGTCAAGTCAGCCCTTGAGGAGAACTCACAGAAAGACCCATGCGGATGCTTCTTGAAAGAGGAGCTTCATATGGGTGTACCTTTTAAAAAGGGACCGGTTTTGCTTTGAGAAGGTCTTACAATGTCGGATTTATCATATATACATCGCACCATTTTCTTTAGCATGTGGACGACAGGGGCTTGGCCGTTGCGTCTACGAGTGCCAGAAGCTGTTCCAACACTTGTCCGGCAACGGCAGCGAGGTGCGAGGGGGAGACTGGTGGTTTGAAGTGGAGAAGGAGCCAAGTCCAGCAAGATCTATAAAGTGGCAGCTTCTTTCTAGCTCCTTTCTACAGGAGAAGGAAGATGAGGAAGATGGGCGATTCGTCTCAACAATGAATCCAACTCCTTCAGCCAGAACTAGTTTGTTTCTTTATTTTTCCATTTAGGTGCTTTCACGAAAGCTAGCATGCTAGCTGAGTTCTTCTTTGCTTTAGCAATTGGTAGTGGGATGAGCTGTGTGCCTTAAAGCTTGATATATCACGCTAACCCCCCCCCTCCCCCACGGTTCGACTCCCAGCTGCGCCGTGTAGCGGGGGTTGGTTGAACGTGTGAACGTGGTTGGTTGGGTGTAAACGGTGGCTTGGTGTAAACGGTGCTGCTGCTGCCGCTCTGCTGCTTGCTGCTGCTGTTTGCTGCTGCCGCTGGTTGCCGCTTATGTAGCTGCTGCTTTGCTACTTGTTGCGGCTTGGTGCTGCTGCTGCTGCTGTTGCTGACGACGCCGCTGCTGCTGCTGCTGCTTGCTGCTGCTGTTTGCTGCTGCCGCTGGTTGCCGCTTTTGTAGCTGCTGCTTTGCTACTTGTTGCGGCTTGGTGCTGCTGCTGCTGTTGCTGACGACGCCGCTGCTGCTGCTGCTGCTTGCTGCTTGCTGCTTGCTGCTTGCTGCTGGTGGTGGTGCTGCTGCTGCTGCTGCGGCTTGGTGCTGCGCTGCTGCTGCGTGGTGCTGCTGGCTGGCTGCTGGTTGGTGGTTGCTGCTGGCTGCTGGCTGCTGGCTGCTGGCGGCTGCTGCTGCTGGCTGCTGCTTGCTGCATAGGACTTGTACTTCACTGTTACAAGTTCTTTACCCCTATTTCTAACCTAATGCATGCATAAGCGGGGGGTAAATTTACCTGCCAGATTTGCCATAACCATAAGCCGGCTATTTCCTCAAGACACTCTACTCCTTATACCTTTTACCAGTGCTTATCCTACACTACGGACGCCCTAGTGTATGCACAGTCCTTGTGATGCCAGAAATGCTTACCCCTCTTTCCGGCACAAGGCATACATAAGCGGGGGGTAAATTTACCCCCCAGAATTGCAATAACCATAAGCCGGCTATTCCCGCAAGACACTCTATTCCATATGTTTTCTGCAGAATCATAGGCTGACCACCTCGTTTTGCACCGCTGTTTGGGCTTAAAGTCTGAGGGTTCATGGGGGAGGCACGGTGCAATAAGTGCCGTGTTGCACCATCCCTCATCGGGGATTCTTGGTGCCTCAGCTGTTCGGCAGTTGAGGCGATCTCGGCAGAGCTCCGAGAGAGGTGGGGGTCGGTTGAGCTTCGGCGGCTGGCGGCCGATCAACTCGTTGATCAGGCCAAAGCGCTGAAAACTTTGAGGATCTTGTCCTTGCGGTTGCGCTTCGAAGGAGAGGATTCGCGTGGTGCCAAAGCCAGCCCGAAAGCTCTGGGTGCGACCCCAAAGGCCGCTGCAAGACCTCCCCCAAAAGCTCCTCCGGTTGTGCGTGAGAAGGTGAAGGTTGAGGAAGCCGCTGAGCAGCCAGAAGTTGAACAGGAGGAGGTTGAAGTTGAAGGCGAGAGCGAGTACACCTACGAATACTCGGAGGCTGAGGATCCCCCTTCATTGGTTGAGACGTTTGAGGAAGGTGTTGATCAATCCAAGCGACCCGCGACGCCGAAGAAAGGCGCTGGGTCTGGTGAAGGTAGTGAGCAAAAGAAGAAGAGGCAGTTTTCAGAGGAGGTGAGATCAGTGCCTGTGAGTGGAAAAGAGGAGAAACCCCCGAAGAAAGAGAAGAAGAGGCATTCGTCCGGACATTCTCGTCACAGAGGACGTCGAGGAGGTTCGAAGCATCAACAGGTGAAGAGACAGAAGAAGGACCCGACAGTTCGTGTGCATCGACGGAAAAGCATTCAACAGTTGGCCCAATTGAAGGCTGAAGACGCCCCCTTGCCCTCGCGGGAGAAGGGATGTCGACGCTGAGGTCAATCTTTCCTTTATGGCAGGAGGGCGACCTATTTTCCCTCCAAGAAACGGCAGAATGGCATATGGTCACACCGGTGAAGGGAGATGTGGCTGTCGTGCCTTTGAAACATACAGATTTGGAGACTGCCTCGGACTCGGAAGCAGCTTTCTTGGTCTTAGGAAGATCAGTCACCCCAGATGGAGGCATGGAGTTGAGCGCTCGCTTCATTGGAGGCGAGGATCAAGAATGGTCGAAGGCTTTCTCAAACTGGTTCAACCGACGCCAAGGGAGCATCCACCTGTGTCCCTCCATACCGTGCACCCATTTCGACTCCACTGTGCTGCATACTACTCAGGTTCGCTTCTTCACCCTCGACAGCTTCACGGCCGACTACTATGGGGCGGCTCAGAGGAGGCAAGTGAAGAAGTGGTTAGAAGGAGGAGTTGCATCAGCAGGAGAAGAAGCAGAGGTGATTGGAGAAGGCGCAGAGAAGGTGAGCAAGAAGACAAAGGCAGATGCCCGGGAAAAAGGAAAGGGTGGAGCCACCGCCAAGAACCCCCCAAAACGACCCGGGGTGTTGCGACGACCTTCAACAAGTCGCAAGCCTGCCCAGGACAAAACCTCTCAGGACAGAGACGAAGCGCTGGGCGATTTGACGGGAGCAGGCCTTGGCAACGAGGAGAGTGGTCCCTTGCCCGAGGATTTGAGGACAGAAGAAGGCCAGGGTCTTTCCAAGGCAGCCACAACGGATCTCCGGTCAAGATTAGAGGCATTGCGCTCACGGCTAGGTGGAGGAGCAGCTTCGAGAAGAGTGCAGTTCGAGGAGCAGGAGAGAGTGGTAGATGCAGAGGGTGCAGAGCCGGACAAAGAGCGAACTTCAGACTCTGTTCGGGGTTCGAGGAGTTTGACTTCGGGTCTGAGCTTGAGACGGAAAGTGGACAAGGCAGAGGCTTCAAAAGATATTTCTTCGAGGAACATCTCAGCACAGCTGGCCTTGCAAGCTCAGCAGACAATGACCGAAGGACGGAGCCTGAGGAGAACCAGGGAAGACGGAGGCCGAGAGACCGAGGAGAACAAAGAGGAGATCTTGCAGTTGTTGAACCGTGTGCTAGGGAAAGACCCGAGCGCTGGTGGGGGCAGGAGTGGAGAAGATCCACCAGACAGAGGCAGCAGAGGACGATCGAGGAGCTCCCGCAGGAGAGACAAGAGACGGAGGAAGGACAAAGGCAAGAGAAGAAAGCGAAAGCTGGTGAACGGAGTGCTGATGTCCACCTCCAGTTCGGAGCACTCGAGCGACGGGTACTCGGGGAGCGAGTCCGAAGAATTCGAAGCACCGATGAGACGGAGATCTCGTCACAACCCCGGCAGTGTGCTCCGCTTGCTGGTACAGAAAGCTCAAACCGCGCTCGACCAGTCGGCATTAGTGGAGGTGGACCCGAGCCTGAACAGTGCGATCACGAAGGGAGTGAAGCTGGTTACATATTACCAACTCCATGTTCGACCTCACTTCAACCATGCTCGAGGACCCATGAGAGACATGTACTTGATGGCACAGACCCTCGACTTGATACGCTCAGGTCAAATAGCCCGTGCGGCGGACCACCTCGCTGGGCACTTCCTCGCGACCCATCAGTCGCTGATGGATCAGGGCTGGAGCCAGGCCAAATTTTTAGAGGTGATCGAGGGCGAGGAGATGAGTGCCACAAGTGCGTCAATCTTGTTGGAGACGAGAAAGCACGCGAAAGCCAGCCTGAAAGCCGAGATGCCGGATGCTTGGAACCCCATGAGGAGTCGAGGCTGGTTCGGAGGAGATGGCAAAGGAAAAGGCTGGTGGCAGCACGACAAAGGAAAAAGCAAAAGCAAAAAGGGAAAAGGAAAGGACAAGCACGACAAGGGAAAGGACCTCAAAGGGAAGAATGCGTGGAAGGACAACCAGGACAAGCCAGACCAGAGTTGAGAGAAGGAGAGGAGTTGAGTCGGCCGCCTATGAATCCCTCCATTTGGCAGGGGGGTCTGGCGCCATGTTTGAAGCTGTCGACTGAGGAAGTTGATTCCTTTGAGCGTGAGGAGAATGCGTGTGAGGAGAGCAGAGTCGGCATTGAGAGGAGTGCATGTCGTTTGAATGAATTTGTTTCCGGCCATGATATCTTCGAGCAGGTAGGCACCCGGATTATAGGCATTGAGATCACTGGATGCATGCTTGCTTGGATCGTGGCTAAGGCCGGAGGTTTTCGGAGAGACCCAGCATGGAACTGGGCCCAGAGGATTCTTTTTGAGGAGAGGGTGACCGCAACCTGTCGCGAGAGGCCCAAAGGAGCCGTCTCGTTCCCTGTGAGGCTTGGTGACCTTGAGCCTCTTGTTGCCACGCTTGGAACTTGCAGTCTTGCAGAGGTGACGCAGTCGGAATTTGTTCAGGCAAATGCTGAGGATTGTTGGTTGATGGCATCTTTGTTCGCTTTGAATAGCCTGGCTGGTTTCAACAAACCGCTGGCACCTGGCAAATGGAGCAAGCTTGAGAAGAGAGGAATAGACAACGTCAGAGCGGCTGTGAAGAGGCTGCTGGACTTACCCCGTGACCCTCTAGAGTCCTTTGAAAAAGTGTGCGAGGATTTTCGGCATGCACGCGTGGGATACGATGGGGAGGAGGTTGGCTCCTGTGAACTGTTGAGCTTGAGTCAAATCCTCCCTGCTCTTCCCCCCTTGGGCCACGGAGGTTCTATTTCTTTAAGTGCTGTCTTGTCACAAGCTACCTACCAACAACTACTACATCCAGAAGATTTGTTGAAGGAAGATTTTACAAAACCCATTCCTTCTATCCCCGGAAAAGCTCATTTTGCAAAGGGTGAGAGGACTTTGGTTTGCTCAGAGCTGGTTAGACGTGGTATTTGCACCTGGGTTAAGGCTGAGGAGGTGTTGGTGTTCAAAGGGAAACGCATTCTAAACGGCCTGTTTGGCGTGAGAAAACCTGCACAGTTGGAGGACGGTAGACCAATCTTAAGGGTGATTATGAATCTCAAAG